ACCTTGAACCAGTTTAAGTTTAGTAAGCGTTTCATCTTTATTTCTCTTGTAACGATTTCTGACTGTAATGCATTATATTTGTACTCACTTAAAACCTGTCTCCTTGCAGGTAATAAACTTGTTTTATTTTTTTAATTAAAGTTCAATCCAGTGTTAATTGTTTGGGTAACTTCATTTAACGTAGCAGACTGTTGTATGTTGATCCCCTTAGAGGGGCAACGGGCCTAATGTATCTGGACTGTCCAGGAGAGGGCTGGATGGTGCAGAACACGTTTTTTGGGGAAAATCCAGGCGTGGGAGCATGGTGGGGTCACCCTGAAAGTGTAACCAAGGCTAGTGGAAGCCACAGTATGACTGATATGTGGCTGGCAAGGTGCAGCTATACACAGACATGCATGCTGGCAGGCGGTTTGTGAGTGGCTCAGGTGGGAGTTACAGCAGCAAAGCATAGTGAGGCACCCACAGTTGCAGGGTAGGTGGTGATACAGCCCCCCACTAGTCTGGAAAGTCATACTGGCTACCTGACAGCACCAAGGAATGATTCAACTAACGGCTGAAGCAGGTACAGAATGACAGTTGAATGTGCTTTTGGTCATTTGAAGGGTTGGTGGCATTGTTTACTCACAAGATTGGATCTCAAATGAAAAAAGTATCCCAATGGTTATAGCTGCCTGCTATGTCCTGCATAATATATGTGAAGCAAAGGGGGAAAGGTTTCCGCTGGGATGGAGAGCAGAGGTGCAGCACCTGTCTGCTGAATTTGAACAGCCAGATAACAGTGAGCCAGAATAGTGTGTGGTGTTGTAGTGTGCTCCACTTGGACCTGCTCTTTTGTGGTGTGGTAGGAATTGTGTGGTGATTGCTGTACATGTAGGACTCTAACAATGTCAATGTACCTATTAATTTTGTGACTGATCCTATGAATTGTGTGCGACTGTGCAGTAACAGGTAATTGGTTTCTTTCAGAACAGCTCGGCACTCGGCAGCATGTGTTGTGATCTAATAAAGATAATTTATGTTCCAAATAATAGGATTTATTCTGTAATAAAATCAGTGCAACAAAGGGCAATTTTAAACAAATACATTAAAAACGTAATAAAGTTTAATAAATTAAGTGAACAGAACTTATGAAGGGGAAAGAATATTCACGTCTATTTCAGGTACATATATACCAACCGTAGCTTTCATAGGTCAGTGTATGTGAAGCTCTGATTGTCTTTAATGTCCTCTGGGGTGGAGTGGTGGGGGTAGTGCAGTGACCACTGATGCCATGTGGAATGTTGGGGGGATGGGGGGTAGAGAGAGGTCCCGATATTGAGTTCTGTGTGCTGCAGAGGGAGGCTAACTACAGTTCCATTGGAGTCTGGAGCATCTGTGTTTGCTGCCTGAGAAGCCCCATTATATCCTAGTGCATCTCTCTCTCCCCTTTTCGTGATGGGACTCCTGAGCCTTTCTCCTTTCCACTCTTTCCTTCGAGGCTGTCCACAATGTCATCCTCCAGGCCCTGTGCTCACGATCCAGTGCATCACTGGCTTGCAGGATCTCATTGAACATGTCATACTGAGTCCTCGTCTTTCTCCTCTTTACCTGGCTCAGGCATTCTGCAGGTATGGAGGGGGAGACCCTGAAGGCCACAATGGCAGCAGTTGAAGATAAAATACACAGAGGTACCATTATCAGTATATTCACTACAGAAAGCAAAATTTAGGAAGCTGAATTCACTCCCCTTGCTCACCTAAAGTTTTAAGCACTACATTTTCACGTCTGCTTGGGATTGCTTGTGCATGGCACCAGCCATGATGAGTGTGGCCTGTCGGGGGGCCGGGAAAATGACGAGGGAATTGCTCAGCTGCATGATTCTAGTAGACTAGGGCAATGACATGGAATATTGTCATAGGTTTCCACAAACAGTGGTGATTTTAGCTGATATTTCACTCCTGAGGATAACAGAAGTGGAGAGAGTACAGCTGCTGCTGACATACCAGAGTCATTGGGGCCCAAATGCTGCTAGACTGTGTCCTATAATGGTGCCTGCTGAAGTTATCGCTGAACGGTGAGGGACAGTGTTCTACCTCAGAGGAAGAAATAAGGCAGCCCTCCTCAGAAACCTTCAGCAGAGGATTGCAGAGTACCTCCATAAAAGTTTCATTGAGACCTCTCAGGAGGTTTCAAGGGATATCCCTGTGGATTTAAACAAACAGCTCTGAATGGCCACCCTGCCTAAGTAGAGGAGAATGAAAAGCAGAAAGCAACTCTACCTCTCTTGGTTGTACCACTACCTATTCTAGCATGAGTATATTAATGAAAAGACAAAAGTTGTATCTTGCTGCTTTGGGTTGCTATCCCTGTAATTGAAAATTCATCTGCATACTTACCTGAGTTTCCTTCCCTTGCATCGGGCTTGATTGGCAGGACAGGCTGGACTCTGGTGGAGTTAAAACGAGGGCCTGACTTCCTGTGCGGCTGGATCCCCTGCTTGCCTGTCCTCCATACTACTCCTATTCCTCATCCACAGCCACCTCATCGCTGTTCACGGCAGGAGCTTGTGACTTGGCAGGTTTGCAGCTTGGCACTGGATTGCTTGTTGGCTTCCCTGACTTTCTGGTATGCCTTCCGTGGCTTTCACGTGGCACTGCTGCTGATTCCTGTTGTACCCCTTCTCATGCGTCCCCCGAGGAATCTGCTCATAGATGTCAAAATTTCTACAGATGGTTTGGAGCTGTTCCTGCACAGCTGCTTCTCTCCACAGGCCCATTCTAAGCAGGAGCGTCTATTCCAAACAGGAGTGTGACTGGAGCATGTAGCTGGCACGGTCAGTAGGCCAGTTACATGCAACAACTGAGAGCTGCTAAGTGTGCTCACCAAGCCGGGCAATCAGGAAAAACTATTTCAAAAATTTGCCGGGCTCTAAAGGTAAGGGAGGGAAGACTTCTGGTCTTGGTGATGCCTGGGCAGTGGAGTTCACAATGATGACCAGAGTGATCATTGTGGAACAGGTTTCAGAGTAGCAGCCGTGTCAGTCTGTATTTGCAAAAAGAAAAGGAGTACTTGTGGCACCTTAGAGACTAACCAATTTATTTGAGCATAAGCTTTCGTAAGCTACAGTGAGTTGAAGTGAGCTGTAGCTCACGAAAGCTTATGCTCAAATAAATTGGTTAGTCTCTAAGGTGCCACAAGTACTCCTTTCTTTTGCATTGTGGAATAGCTGCTGAAGTACAGTTAGGATTGACATATATAGCGCATTGTCTACACACGCTCTGCATCAACCTAAGTATGTCAACTGAGACTCTACTCAGCATAGGGAGGTTGGGTTACTATGTTGGTGCAATGGGGCACTTATAGTGGTGGGAGACCAATTTAAATGTAGATACAGGCACAACTAGGTCGACATAAGCTGCTGTGCGTCAACCTAACTGTGTAATCCACTGGGCCTGAGACGGCATCATTTTAATTGTGCTGCATAATATGAGATCTCTATACAGAACGCATGCAGATCAACTGTGGAAAGTGTGATTATTCCTTCTTTTCAGCAATGTATAGTGCACATACTAGCCTATTCCAAGGGTTGAGGGATATACTGTCAGAAATGTCACTTGTCTGCTGTGGGTCCTGAGCAAAGGACCTTTAGTTGTTCAGCTGCATCTATCTAGTCAGTGAAGTAAAGCATACCTGGCGCAAGCTAACAAGATAGTCCTTGATCCTGAAAACTATCTAGAGGCCTCGAAACCCAGGGTCACATGTGAGAGAGACACATCATGCAGTGTGCTTCTTTACCTTCACCCAGTTGCACATTCTTTCTTTTTGGTTATATTCGGGCATAGCAATCAGCCCATGTTTGGTTTTTACAGCTCTGTTCTTCCCTCTGTCTGCGAGATCAACCCTCTACTACTCTTGCTCATTTCATTTCTGTTAAATGGCTTGGCCATTTCAGTTAAATAATCAAGCCTAAAAATATAGTGCAACTCTTCTTGCAGTGTCCTGCTTAGGTGGTTGCACTCATTATTTGAGAGCACTTGTGTGTGTGTGTACACACACACACAGAGCAGGCAGCATTGCTGAAATGGAAGTTCCTTTCCTTTTTTGTTGAGTGTCTGACTTGACCTCTGAGTATATATCACCAAGGAGTGGCATAAATACTTTTTCTGTCTTGGGCTATATATCTTTTGTCCAGAGGCCAGTCAAAAGGTGACTCCAGATAAATGAAATTTCAGCTTCTTGCCTGTCGGGCAAGCTGCTGACTTGCATTAAAAATCCTTCGTGAGGCTGACTAACCAGTGTGTCTGATCTGGAACATATAGCAAAGATTGTTCTCCTCACAGACTTTTAACGTTAGAAGGGACCATCATAATCATGTAATCTTCCCTCCTGCACATTGCAGGCCACGGAACCTCACCCACCCAGGCCTGTAATAGACCCATACCCTTCCTCAATCATCTTGTAATGTCTCTGAATAATAAAAAATGGGTGATTTCTCTGCCTGGCCCATTATTTTGCTAAATTCCTGCTCTGGCTCAACAGCCAATTACACCTCCATGCTGCTCTGAGGGAAGTGTATGTATGGCTCATTATATGCTTTTCCCCAAAGTGCAGTATGGGACATGACACAATGACATTTGAGTTATCTGAGCTGGATCAGTTTTCATTTCTTCTTCAGATCAGATATACCGGTCCATCAAATCACCCAAGACTTAAATACTGCTTGTCTTTGAGAGAGGGACATACAGGTGCACCATACAATATTTATTCTACTCTTAAACCCATCTTGGCTACAAAATAACACGGACAGTCACATTTTCATGTTGAGTATAAATCTTGCTTGAAAGAGGACAAGTTGTCCTTTTTTTGTCGGGGGGGGAGAACACCCAAATTTCCTAGCTTTGTATAACCTCTTGCAGGACAATGTTGGTAGTGTTGCTCATCCTCAACATTCTTACATAATTTTACTCTCATGTTGTCATCCTTTTCTGGTAACATGTTTGATTTATTCTCATGTTCCTCAGAGCCCTTCAAGATGCACAGAGAGGATGTCCTGTCTGATATGCTGCTACGTCCTTCTGGGGAGACTCGCCTACCATTCACAGAGCATTTTGAAGCTTCAGAAGAAGTTCATGGTATAATCCTCTGTTGAATATGTTCGCGGGCTGCTGTTAACCAGGGGTTCAGTTTTCAGTTTCTATATATGGAATTGTGGGCTGTCTACAGAAATCCGTTAAACTGGCAATAATGTAAAATTTTACCTCCTTTCTTCTCCTGAGTCGTCTTTTGTAAACAGTGTTTTGGGCTTGAGCTCTCTCAACAGACCTGGTCTTTTATCCCCTTTTCGTCCTATTTTATTTTAATTAAAAAAAAAAGCTGAATTAAACTAAAGTCCAAACTTTAACTTCGTCTTCAAATGTTTTGTCCCCATTTGTGGGTTTTTTCACTTTCCAGTTTTCAACATTTGGACCATGGTCGCTTGAGAGCTTCTATAAGAATAGCTTATTTTGGAGTAGTATCTGAAAGGCACACAACTTCCCTTCCCCTGCCCAATAACATTTGATTAACTTTTTCTTGGTCTGTATCGCAGATCTAGTGCCTCTGAGTGAATTAACAGGTAGGTTTATATACAGTATGTAGACTCATGTATACATTATTTTGTGATGAAAATAAAGTACATTGCTCTGTAAGTTAATGGACCTAATGAAATAAGTTTGTGTTGGAAACAAATCAGAATTTAAAAGAATGATAGCAGTGACAAATGTACTTTATTTCTTACAGCACCCCATGCAGCTATGATGGTACCTGAACTGCCTTCTCTGGGATCCTCATATTCTCCTGCAGAAGTTATAGATCCATCTGCCTTCATGACCCTGGATTCAACAACAGAGTCTCTGCTGAATATATCAGGTGCAACACACTTCTGCTGCTGCCATGCTACTTTATAACTGGGACCAGAGGGATCTGCGGGTCAGAAACTGTTAGGTGTATTAATCTTAAAAAGATTATCATATTTGGCTTTTCCAGTTACATAAAATGAGTCAAGATTAAGAAAATATCCCATTGGAAAGAACATAAAATGCTTCAACTCAATTTTCAGTCTGAGAGATTTCTTAAGGTATTTGGGAGCAGAATGTCTCATTGAGAGTGTGTGTCTTGTGCTGGTGGATCTTAAAATTAGTATTAGTTAATATCCCTTTCTTATATAATCCCTTAGATCCATAATAATATCAGAGGAGAACACATGTTCAGGTCCTGTAAGGTTTCCCAAGATGAACTAATAAGTTCTTTCTAAGAATGAAGTTGCAAAAACAGCAAAGCCTGTACCACATGGGTAAATATGTGGTTGCAGTGTGTAGTTGAGCATCTGTTTTGAAGTCCAGAACCAGTGCTGTTGACATTGACAGGGCTATATGTGCTAATTGTTTCCCTTAGCACCTGCAAGAGTGACAGTGCCTGAAGAACATTGGCTGGGAGTTCAGCATGCTGTGGAGGGACTAGATAAATCTTCCTTTGGAGAGCCACCAGGTAAAAATTAAAGTATTGGGTTGTCCCCAGAAAATTATTTCTGGAGTCTTTCAGCAGGATTTGAATGCCAGAAATAATGGTCTTTCCTTCCCTCTTAAAAATGGAGGCTAAGGGCTGTATTGTGGGTACTATAGCATGACTAAAACACTGCTGTGTTGGTTCTGTAACATCCTTGGAATAGAAAAAAATCTTCATTGGAGCTACATTTCTTATGGCAAAGTGCTCAGAATTGGGAAAAGAAATAAAATCAATTGTGAACTTTAGGTATCTCTCTGAAGATGGATATATCCTTGCTATCTGGGGGTCTATGTTCACTCCCAAGAGAGTTATTTGGGTGGACAGAATCAAGGAGCTTTTCTTGATGTTGATAATAAAGCCTTTCAGGATACTCAAAGTCAGAGACATAGCTTTGTATGCCACTGCTAGAGATAGAGCTCTGATTAAGATGTTGTCCAGGAGGGAGTACAGGTGGATCTGCGTGACCTTAGTCTGTCTGTGATTACCACCAATATCTTTATAAAGACCTACAAGGCAGAGGACAAGCCAAATGGGAGCATCAGATATTGATAATGCTTCCTGTTGTAGGCAAACCTTGGGAACCTGTGGTTGCACGGTCTGATTGAGATGTTGGAGGTGTATTCATCTGCCAGATCTACTGAAGTCATAAAATCTCTCTGGGACAGGGATACACCATAGATGTTAGGGTCTCCATCTGGAACTTGGTTTTCTTCATCTACCTGTTGAGCCTTTTGAGATACAGAATGGCTCTCATTCTGCCTGTAAATTTCTGAATGATAAAGATGATAGAGTTTTAAGGGTTCTACTCCATCTTCTGAGGGAATGCTCTCTATTACTCCCACATCCAGGAAATGAGAAATCTTGTTCTGGATTAAACCATGCTTTATGGGGTTGTTTGAGATGTGGGACTAGACGAAAAATGAATGGGGTGGAGCCTGTAACTCAGCCCTAGGTAGAGACCTATGCAGTCTTTGTCATAATGAGGCTTTGGGAATGGCAGGGTTCCCTCGGGGCTTTCCTCTGGAGAACAAGTTGTCTCTTCACTGGTGTTTCTGTGAGGATGAAAGCCAAAAGGAATGCCTTTGCCTGAAGGCCATTCTGTACTCTTGCAAAAGGTATGGTATGGCATTGGGAAGGACTGTTTAGATTTTGGGGCACTGTCCGCCACTACTTGATCTAGCTTCTCTCTGAAAATCAGGGATTCCATGAATTTGGTGGAGCACAGGACTTGCTTCAAGTGGCTATCCTCCTTCCAGGGATGGAGCTATAGTTGGCACCTGGTCACTGCTGGAGGCCAAGGCTTTGGCTGAGAATCTCATTGCCTCTGCAGAAGGTTCAACAATGAATGCTGTTGTCAGGGAAACTTCCTTTAATTAGAGCCAGAGTCAGGGTGATCTCTGTCATATCAGCTCACAGACTGCTGCGCTGGGCATCACAGCATGGGGAGTAGATGGCCAGCCCTCTGTGGAGAAAGAGGTGGTTAGGGACTATTTAGAAAAGCTGGACGTGCACAAGTCCATGGGGCCGGACGAGTTGCATCCGAGAGTGCTAAAGGAATTGGCGGCTGTGATTGCAGAGCCATTGGCCATTATCTTTGAAAACTCGTGGCGAATGGGGGAAGTCCCAGATGACTGGAAAAAGGGTAATGTAGTGCCAATCTTTAAAAAAGGGAAGAAGGAGGATCCTGGGAACTACAGGCCAGTCAGCCTCACCTCAGTCCCCGGAAAAATCATGGAGCATGTCCTCAAAGAATCAATCCTGAAGCACTTACATGAGAGGAAAGTGATCAGGAACAGTCAGCATGGATTCACCAAGGGAAGGTCATGCCTGACTAATCTAATCGCCTTCTATGATGAGATTACTGGTTCTGTGGATGAAGGGAAAGCCATGGATGTATTGTTTCTTGACTTCAGCAAAGCTTTTGACATGGTCTCCCACAGTATTGTTGTCAGCAAGTTAAAGAAGTATGGGCTGGATGAATGCACTATAAGGTGGGTAGAAAGTTGGCTAGATTGTCGGGCTCAACGGGTAGTGATCAATGGCTCCATGTCTAGTTGGCAGCCGGTGTCAAGTGGAGTGCCCCAGGGGTCAGTCCTGGGGCCGGTTTTGTTCAATATCTTCATAAATGATCTGGAGGATGGTGTGGATTGGACTCTCAGCAAATTTGCGGATGATACTAAACTAGGAGGAGTGGTAGATACGCTGGAGGGCAGGGATAGGATAGAGAGGGACCTAGACAAATTGGAGGATTGGGCCAAAAGAAATCTGATGAGGTTCAATAAGGATAAGTGCAGGGTCCTGCACTTAGGACGGAAGAACCCAATGCACCGCTGCAGACTAGGGACCGAATGGCTAGGCAGCAGTTCTGCGGAAAAGGACCTAGGGGTGACAGTGGATGAGAAGCTGGATATGAGTCAGCAGTGTGCCCTTGTTGCCAAGAAGGCCAATGGCATTTTGGGATGTGTAAGTAGGGGCATAGCGAGCAGATCGAGGGACGTGATCGTTCCCCTCTATTCGACATTGGTGAGGCCTCACCTGGAGTACTGTGTCCAGTTTTGGGCCCCACACTACAAGAAGGATGTGGATAAATTGGAGAGAGTCCAGCGAAGGGCAACAAAAATGATGAGGGGTCTGGAACACATGACTTATGAGGAGAGGCTGAGGGAACTGGGATTGTTTAGTCTGCAGAAGAGAAGAATGAGGGGGGATTTGATAGCTGCTTTCAACTACCTGAGAGGTGGTTCCAGAGAGGATGGTTCTAGACTATTGTCAGTGGTGGAAGAGGACAGGACAAGGAGTAATGGTCTCAAGTTGCAGTGGGGGAGGTTTAGGTTGGATATTAGGAAAAACTTTTTACTAGGAGGGTGGTGAAACGCTGGAATGCGTTACCTAGGGAGGTGGTAGAATCTCCTTCCTTAGAAGTTTTTAAGGTCGGGCTTGACAAAGCCCTGGCTGGGATGATTTAATTGGGGATTGGTCCTGCTTTGAGCAGGGGGTTGGACTAGATGACCTCCTGAGGTCCCTTCCAACCCTGATATTCTATGATTCTATGATTGAGAACTCTGCGATATTCTACCCAGGAGAGAGATCCCTTCACAAAGCAAGTAGCACTAGGGACAGCCTGAGGGAGACTGATAAAACCTCAAAATCTTTTTTGAGAGTGACCTCTGTTTTTCTATACATGGGCTCCTCAGGATAGAACTCACCTTCTGAGGGGAAAACCATACCTTTAGTCCAGGACTTTAGGATAGCGTCAGCCTTTAGTAGCTCAGTAATTGGGACTTTTGGTTCCTGGATCCTATACAAGCTAAGATCATTTCCAAGCATAGGGATCACTCCACTACCACAATCACACATCAGTTTGCTTCATCTTAAAGATATGGGACTTTTCCCTAGAATGCAGGGAAGATCAAGAGAGGGTTCTGGCACAAGTGATCAATTCCTTAAAATGGTTATCAGCCCAGGGCAAAGTTCACAAGGGCAATGACTTCCAGGTCCCCTTATCCTCTCAATCGATGCCAGCCTGAATGGGTGGGAAGCGCACATGGAGTCCCAAACAGTTCAAGGCAACTGGCACCTGGAGGAAAGGACCCACAGCATAAACCTCCTAGAACTAAGGGTGGTCAAGCTGACTCTAGGAAAGGTTCCAGACCAGCCTAGAGGGGAACCACGTCCTGCTTCAGTCAAACAATACAACCACGGTCACACATGGGGGCAGCAGGGCAGTCCTTAGGATTTATGGGGCCCTATATAGTATTATTAAACTGATGCCCCTATGCCTGACTTGTTCTTAGCAACACAAACATAAGTTTACAGTATTGGAAAACTTTCCACATGCACTTTATTAAAAACAATTTAATAAATTAAGCACACTATAATGCTGATGGACTAGACTTGCACTAAAGACATAGCGCTATATTAAAAACATTCTGATCTATTGACAGAATGATGCAAATAATATAATTTTTTAAATTTGTCAACATTTTATTGAAAATTACTATGAAGAGGTATTGAAACAAGGATTTGTTTTTAATTAAAAGCAATCTTTCTGGCTTTTTTGGCTGCCAAATCAGTAATAATGTCATTGTATGACAAAGATGAAGTGATGTCTTGTTCAGTTGCAAGAATAGCAAGACCAGTCAAGCGTTCCTGACTCATTGTAGAGCGGAGATAGTTTTTAATGATCTTTAGTTTTCAGAAACTCCGGTCTCCTGATGCTACTGTTACAGGAATTGTCAGTAGAATATGAGTGGCAATGTACACGTTAGGATTTATGTCAACAAGTTTGCTGGTATAATAAAACTGTACAATGTCCATCACCGACTTTGCATGTGGCAACACTGATGACAATGTACTCAATTCTTCGTACAGTTCAAGTCCATTTAAATCAAAACTATCACCGTGCTTCAGGAGGCTCTCTAGGTTCTTGCACTTTGTCATTAGCTGCTCTTGTTTTCCTATTTCGTTGAGTTTAGTTATGTCATACAAAAATCCAAACTGTTCATGGTGTGCTCGTAAGGTATTAAACCTTTCATCAACAGCAGATATTGCTTTATCCATCACAACATTAAAAAATTCAACCTCAAATTTCTTTTCTGGATCTTCTGTGGGCTAATTTGCTCCTTCATATTCTGGTTGCCATTTTTTTCTCGAAACTCTTGTCATTTTTCGGACATGGAAATTTTGGTTCTACACCACGTGCCTCTGCAAACTCTCTTGCTGTAACCTGTGCTGCTTTGAATCCAGTTTCTCTGTATTTCACTAAAAAGTCTTGTGTGTAGTTTAGCAAGGTAAGTGTTGAATCAAGATGCACTATTTTGCTGACACTTGAGATTTTAACAAGAATGTCATACCAGATTATGACAGATGTTAGAAACTTGAAGCTGGATATTTCAGAGGCCAATGACTGTTTTTCACTTTTAGCTTTTGGATCTCTGGTCTTCTTCCGAAATAGCAACCAGTGCGTTGTAAACTTCCTCAGATTGATGTCTCAACGTTTTTACACTTTCTACTGTGCTTTCCCAGCGTGTCTCAGATAGAGGCTTAACAGTAATACCACTGACATGTGCTTTGAATATTTGCCATTGTTGAGTGGAAGCTGAAAAGAGCATGGAAATGCGTTGCAGCAAACCTAAAAAAGAAATAGCTTCTACAGAAGACTTGGCCATATCACATAAAATCAACTTAAGGCTGTGGCATGCACACGGAACAAAAAAGGCTTGTGGATTTTCCTCCAGCAATCCAACTTGCACACCAGAAATGCGTCCTCTCATATCGGTGCCATTATCATAGCCTTGTCCTCTGAATATTCATTATGACCAGGGAGACACTAACTTTCAGACCTGATAGAGTTGAAACTGGGACCGCTCCTACAGCTCCCAAACAGATAAGACATCCTCTCACAAGATCGTCTGCTTAATCTGTGCCTGAACTGGCTGCATCTAACATCCTGGCTATTGAGAGGAAAGCACTAGTATCGTTGGGTCTGTCCTCCAAAGAACGAACACTTCTTTCCTCTAGAAGAGTATCAACATTTGAAATCAAACTCCTCAGTCTGGACTGAGTTTTGTGGCTGGTGCCAGGAACATGAAGCAAACCCTAGCTATCCTGGATTTTCTCCAAGAAAGCTTTGACAAAGGTCTCCAACCCTGCACCATTTTGCTTCAGGTGTCCGCACATAGTAGCGTGATGTTCACAGGATCTGTGGATTCTCTGGATGACCATTCCCAAGCAGTCTGGTTAGCCAAGCCGGTGATTAGACCTCATTTTCCCAGGGGGACTTGTCACTTGTACCGAGCTCCTTCACAAACCATCCCTTCGAACCACTGATGTCAGTGTTGTATTTTTCCATCAAAACTTGTTTTCTGATAGCCATCAGGTCCGCCAGGTGAGTGTCAGAGCTGGCAGCACCCTATGCAGAAGCCTTATTGCTTGTTTCACGAGGACAGGGTGGTGCATGGAACTCAGGAATTGGTTATCTCGAAGGTGAACTTTTCTTTCCATGCTTCTAAAGAGGTGGTTCTACCATTGTTCTGTCCAAGACCAGAGCATCCCACCAAGGAGGATGTGGCACACCTTAGATTTCAGAAAACCTCTGAAAATTTACCTCAGATGTACAGTCAGATGAGCAGATCAGGTGCCCTGTATGTATCCTTTCATCTGAAATTCTAAGGACTCAAAGTTTGTAAATCCTGTGGATTAAACTGTGCGTTGTGGAAGTGTACAAGACATCAGAGATTCTGGTTCCAGAAGGGGTCTGGGCACATACCATGTGATCCCTGGCAACCTCATGGGCAGAAAGAGCTAATGCATTTGCAGCAGAAATGTGTAGGACAGCAACCTGGTCAAATGCTAGAACCTTTGTCATGCACTACAAGGTGGACTTCCTGTCCTCTGCACAGATATCCTTCAGCAGGAAGGTACTGCAGGCAGAGGCCCGGAAACTATTTTGCCCTTTGACCAAATATAGGTGGGGGAGGGGATAAGATTTTTCTTTTTCTGATCTTTTCTATAACCCTCCCTACAACTGTTCACTCCTTCCCAGATGTCAAGTATTGTGGGAAAAGCTGGGCTGTAAAACAAAACATTTCTTACCAATACTTTCCTTTCTGTTAGCAGCACCTCCCCCAGTTCTCACCCTGGTGGCTCAATAGTCAAGGGTCAGATATGAAGTGGAAAATGAACCCCTTAATGAACAGAAAATCTCTTTTGAAGGCTTTCTGATTAATTTATTTTATGCTAGTAACTTCTACCTTGATATTTTAAGTGGCTGTTGCAGATGTAATGTTTTCTTGTAGTTGTATTATGAAGCCTTAGTAATCACTGCCTCCAATTCTATATCCAGTCTTTCCTTTGACAGCATAATATAACATGGAAAGACAGGTACACATATCCCTATAGTTTGTCATGAACATTCCTCTCTTGACTTGAAGAATTAGAACAGCCTAGTTAATAGGTGTCTTGCGGTACTAGAGTGTCTGTATTTAACCATAATTGGGTCCATAGGGAGATCTAATTAACCAATAGATCTTGGGTGCTCCTAGTTCATTCACATAAGATATGCAAGGCGGATCTGGGCAGGGGTCTGTGAGAGACAAAATAGGTTCAGTGATCACCTTTCTTGTAGAGCAGTTTGTATCTACCTCCTACACTTACTTCTGTACCTGTGAAGGTGCAGTAAATGCATTACTAATATAAGGAATAGGTGTTCAAGGTTACTGTGCCTTTTCCAGAATGCTAAAATAATTCATTGGGTGGACATAACTTACTCCTGAAAAGGATCCCTGTAAAAATTGCACCTTCTCACTCAATGTATCTACCTCTTGTGCCTGTTGACGGTCAGGTCTGCTGACTTCAGTGACATGTGTTCGTTTATTAGATTTTATTCCTCTTAACCCTGCAGGGTCAGTGCAGCAGGGAGAACCAACAAATGTGATTCTGGTGCATGCATGTTCATCAATTTTTAACTAAGTTCCATTTTCACAGCCATGTGCTGTACCACATTGTTGTGACACTCAGGAGACAGTGGGACTGCACAGGTATAACTGAGAGGAGAATTGCACTAATTTGCACAGGTGTAATGGAATGTGACCTGCAGAATCGTCATTATTGGTTGTGGTGAGTAAGCCAGAAAGAATCTAGCTTTACTCCAGATTCCAAGTTGAGTGTTCTGGTTGCAGCTAGAAAAACAGTCTTATAAATGGAGTAAACTTGTTTGAGTCATTAAAGGTACATCTATGCAGCAAGCAGCTGCCCGTGGCAGCAAGTCTCAGAACCTGGGTCAACAGACTTGGGTTTGCAGGGCTTGGGCTACTGCACAAAAAATAGCTGTTGTAGATGAAGTGGCTCCAGCTGGAGCTCAGATTCAGAAGCCTGTGGTCAGGGGCGGGTTTGAGAGCCCAAGCTCCAGCCCAAACTGCAAAATCTATAATAGCTATTTTTAGTGCAGTAGCCCAAGCCTCTCAAAGTCCAGATTGGTCAACTCTGGCTCTGGGACTTGTCGCCACATGCTGCTGCTCACTGTGTAGACATATCCTGAGATGTCATAAGTGTGGAACACCGTAATGGTATTTTTAGAGTCACTTTTCAGAGTAGAACCAAACTTCCTTATTTCAGTATTTGAGTAGTAGTAGTTTTCAAAGTAGCAGCCGTGTTAGTCTGTGTTCGCAAAAAGAAAAGGAGTACTTGTGGCACCTTAGAGACTAACCAATTTATTTGAGCATAAGCTTTCGTGAGCTACAGCATCGGATGCAGTGAGCTGTAGCTCACGAAAGCTTATGCTCAAATAAATTGGTTAGTCTCTAAGGTGCCACAAGTCCTCCTTTTCTTTTTGAGTAGTAGTAGTATATTTAATTTGTGTTACAGTAGTGTCCAGTGGCCCCTCTTGTTATGTTACTAGGCATGGTACAAATGCATGCAAAGTCGCAGACCCTTATCAAAAGAGCTCACAATATATACAGGTAGTGTTTCCAAATTCACTCACGTGTAATGAACAAAAATTTCTTTTGTGTACCTAGAACCCACCAGGTTAGCTGATGTATCAGAACAATATTTGCCAAGTCCAGTGGCTGCTGCACCTGCTGCTGTTCCTTCTGCACTAACAGAGCCTACAGGAGAGACCAAAGCTACTGACACACCGCAGGTTGAACCAACAGGTAAGATCTGTGGGTCTGTCTTGGTGATGGATTATTTGGTGATGGATTTAAGATTTTGAAGAAACCATGTAGGGAAGTATGCACAAGCAACAACTTCACAAAACCTATCATGATGGTGGAGATTGACAATACGAAAGATGATGAAACATAGGAAGGCAGTGGGACTGGATGGTGTACCAATTGAGTCATTTAAAGTATTTGGTCATGAGGGAGTGGTGGTGATGAATTTTTTCAGTGTAATTCTCTGTACTGGAAAAATGCCTGATGAGTGGAGGAAGAGCACACTGGATATGTACGAGGGTAGCACAGTAGTGATAACCAGCTGTGGCTATAATGAGTCCTTCACTGTGAGAGTAGGTCTATATAAAGGATCAGCTTTAGGCCCATTCCTATTTGTGATTGTAATGAACACTGTGTCATATTCTTTGAGTGGTGGTCCTTATGTGGATTCCACTCCTTGCACCTGAGACTGGAGATTTGTAGCAAGTAGTGTCTGTTGGTCTCTGCACGCTCAGTTGCTCTCCGTGTACTCTGAACTGAGGGCATAAAGGGCAGCGTGTACTGACACATCTCCAGTTCCTTCTTACCGCCACATAGATTGTTGGAATTCTGTGTCCGTTATGGTCTTCCTCTACTGTCAATACTTGTAAATATATATTGTAAATAGTTTTAGTAAATTTAGACTGTGTTCATGTTTTTATAGCTAGTATAGTTAGTATAGCTCCCCATCTCGGGAAGCTTCTCCCCGTGGAGAAGGAATATGTCAAGTATCCAGGGGCTTAATAACTGTATTTTCAGATCCCATTTCTTCTCCATCAATGATGAACACCAGCACTGCCTTGGAGAGGCTCACATCACTGCCAAGTGCAGCTTCTGCTGCTCCTTCCCTCCTCAAACCATGAGGCACAAGAATTCCATCTGCAGAAACACTTCATGGAGAAGGCCATGAGACAGACTCCAGTTGGACCCAGGCCAGGGAGAACCCCCTGTACAGGAGCCTTAGATTGCAAGCAGTGCCCTTCCAAGCATGAGTTCTGGAGTGGAGGACAAAACAGTTAAGCCTAAGAACCCCTCTCAAAAGAGTAGGGGATATTACTATAGGCAAAAGAACAGATGCCTGTCCTAGATCTGTCTCTTTAAAAAGAAAGAAAAAGGAGGAAAAAAAAAAAAGTATCCCTCCCTATTTTGGTCCAAGTTGGTTGAGTCCTCATGCACAGGTCCTGAGGAATTAGGTCTACATAAACTTTCCATCCAAGAATGAAAGGCACAAAGGAAGGAGGATCTGATGGTACTGGGTCCAGCTCTGTTCCACAATCCTCAAGATTGGCACCAGCCAGTCCTGTCTCAGAATTCCACATTGGACCCCCATTTGATGGTTTCCACACCTCTGACTGGGATCCTCTAAGTACAGACCATTGGATACTTGGATCCATCAATCCCCACCTTGGACTTCTTGAACTACAGGAAGGAATGAAACCCTTACCTTGTTGAAGGATATTTTTGCTCTTCCCTATTCACAATCCCCTCTTCTATTGGGCCTGGTCCTTCTTAGAGTGATTTCAATGTCAGAAACCACTTTGAGGAGAAGATCCTCCCATACTGCACCCACAACTTAGAGCATTCTTCCGCAAGAACTAATGGCACTGCTCGTAGAACAGGCGTCTGCCTGTTGCTATTTGTGGGACCTGTGCTGTTGAACATATTCATTAATAATCTGGAAAATGGAGTGGACAGTGATGTGGCAATGTTTGCAGATGATTATACAATTATTCAAGATAGTTAAATACAAAGTAGACTGTGAAGAGTTACAGTGGGATCTCACAAAACTGGATGATTGGGCAACAAAATAGCAGATGAAATTCAATGTTGATAAGTGCAAAGTAATGCACATTGGAAAAAATAATCCTAACTACACATATATAATGATGGGTTCTAAATTAACTGTTACCATTCAAGAGAGAGATCTTGGAGTCACTGTGGCTAGTTCTCTCAATGCACAGCAGTGGTCAAAAAAGCTAACAGCATGTTAGGAACTATTAGGAAAGGGATAGAAAATGTCATAATGCCACTATATAAATCCATGTTGTGCCCACACCTTGAATATTGTGTCCAGTTCTGGTTGCCCATCTCAGAAAGGATCTGGTGGAACTGGAAAATGTTTGGAGAAGGGCAACAAAGATGATCAAGGGTATGGACCAGCTTCCATATGATGAGATGACAACTATACCATCTTCCTGTATCGGATAACTGGCTACTAATGGGCAGATCAAGCCAGGAGGTCCAGTTGGTGACCATATTCTGACTGCACCTTCTGAAGTGATTGGGGATCCGTGTAAACAAAGAAAAGTCCACTTTGATTCTCATGAAGACTGTAGATTTCAAAGGAGCAATCCTCGACTTGTCCTCAGGAAAGACCTGCTTCCTTGTAGACAGATTTCAGTCTATGGCCATCTCGATAAATCAAAAACAATGAGGAGTCCGGTGGCACCTTAAAGGCTAACAGTTTTATTTGGGCATAAGCTTTTGTGGGTAAAAAACCCACTACTTCAGATGCACAAAATTTTTTACCCACGAAAGCTTATGCCCATATAAATCTGTTAGTCTTTAAGGTGCCACCGGAGTCCTTGTTGTTTTTGTGGATACAGACTAACATGGCTACCCCTCTGATACTTGATAAATCAAGTCACCCTGAGACCTCACACCACAATCAGGGTCTGTCTTTCCTTACTAGGCCACATGGCTGCATGTACATATATAATGCCGTTTGCCAGACTCCAATTGCCTCCAGGCCTGGCTTCCGTCTGTTTACTCATAGTGGTGTTCAGGTTATCCTTATCTGGTAACAATCCCACAAAAGGTCAGAGCCTCTCTCATATGATGGACAAAACCAGACCAGGTACAAACGGGAGTTCCCTGGCTTCCATCCACAACTGACACAACCATAATCACGGATACATCCCTCATAGGATGGGGAGCCCATATGGACAATCTCACTGCACAATGCACTAGGGAGGCTTGAATGAATATCAATCTGCTGGACATGAGGGCAGTTCGCCTAGCCTGCAAAGAATTCCTCCACCTCATAGGATTCTGTTGCATCCAGATAGTGTTGGACAACATGACAGTCTTTTATATAAACAAACAGGGTGGACGAGATCTTCTCCTCTATGTTTAGAGGCAGTGAAGTTATGGAACTGGTGTATCAAGAACCACATCGCATTCAGCAACATGCCAACCATGTGTGCAGAATACTTTGGCAGATGATCTTGGCAGCCACTTCTCCGCAGACCAGGAGTGGGAAAGTCACAATTCTGTCTTGACTGAAATCTTTACGCAGTGGGGAACACCATTTTAGGATCTGTTCACCTTCCAAGCAAACAAGAAATTCAGTCTCTACTGATCCAGAGCAGCAGTAGGCCAAGACTCCAGGGATACCCTTCTGTTATCCTGGACGGATCATCTAAGGTACCTGTTTCCTCTCATCCCACTGCAACCATAGATTCTCTGGAAAATTCTCCATAACAAGGCCAGGTTTATCCTCCTCATACCCAATTGTCCCAGACAATTTTGATTTTCAGAGCTTCTACAAATGTCATCCCCTGCATACTCTCATCTGGATTTGTTGACTCAAGAGAAGGGCAGGATGAGACATCCCAACTCAGACCCTGTTCATCTCTCAGCCTGGTATTTGAATGGGTGTCAGACCAGGAATGATCATGTTCAAAGGCTGTCCAAACTCCTCAATCACAGCAGAAAAATCTCCACTATAAAATGCGGTCTAGCTAAATGGAGGCATTCTCTACCTTGTCACAATGGAAGTAGTTATCACTAGAATCAGCAGATATCCCTGTAGTTTTAGGCTATCTTCTGTCCCTCAAAATGTCAGGACTTTAATGAAGTAATGGAAAGGTTCACCTGGCAGCAATCAATGCCTTCCATTCTCTTGTAGATGGCCAATCTCTTTACTCACCCTACCACAATTTGATTCCGGAAAGGCCTCATTGGGCCCTTCCTGCTTGGGACTAAACCCACACCACAATGGAATCTCAGCCTAGTACTCTCAGCTCCTACCAGACTACCCTTCAAACCGATGGCTACATGTTCCATGTCATACCTTTCCACTAAGGTTGCTTTCTCAGTTGCTATCACATCAAGCAGACTAGTGAGTGAACTGGTAGCATGTGTGGCTGACCCATCATATTTCATAGAGAGAGCTGCTCCTTTTGCCTCAACCCAAAATTTATCCACAAAGTAATTTCAGACTTTCACGTAAATCAACCTATTCACTTATTGGTATTCTTCCCAAAGCGTCATGCTTCCATCAAAGAAAAGACACTGTGCTTCTGGGACATCAGACCGGCCTTGGCTTTGTATCCGCAAAGAATGAAATCTGTTAGGAAAACACAAGACTGTTGCTATAGCAGAGTGATTACAAGGACAAGAATGATCAGCTCGGAGACTTTCTAAGTGGATCTCTAGATGCATCAGTCAGTGTTGTCAGCTGACAAGTATTATTCCTCCAGATGGGGTGCGGGCCCACTCTGAGAGCCCAAGCAACCTCAGTGGCATCTGAGATGTACCAGTAACGGACATTTGTAAGGTGGCTACTTAGAGCTCCATCCACTCCTTTACAAAACATTACGCCCTAGTCCAGGGTTCTTCAGCAGATGCAGTTGTGAGGTCAGTAGTGTTAGGCATCCAGACCAAAAAATGGAGACGGTTACTTACCTGAAACCTGAGGTTCTTTAAGATGTGTGGTTCCTATCTGTATTCTAATACCCACCCTCCTTCCCCTCTGCTTTGGATCTTATCTGATTCATTGTAGGAGAGGAAACTAGAAAGGTATCGCCCTTTATGCCCTCAGTTCAGAGCACAAGGAGAGCAACTGCACATGCATGGACCAACAGAGACTACTTGCTAAAAATCTCCTGTCTCAGGTGCATGGAGTGTAAGGGCACCCATATGTGGAATAAGATAGGGACCACACATCTTGAAGGTAAGTAATCTCCATTTACAGCAAAGGCTCCATGGAGCATGCTTTTTGCTGCTGACGTTATGTTGTGCTGTAAAAATAAATACAAACTGGAGAGGGACCTAGAACTGAATTTAAAAAAATGGCATATGAATCAGCTGGAATCCATGTGGTGCTTTGTTGAGAGGGACTACAAGATGCTAGTGAAATTAGATGGTATAGTGTGAGTCGGTGTGACAATTTAAATATCTGGATTCAGTCCTGAGCCATGTTGGGAATGTGGATACAGATGTCATGGAGGTGCATGGAGAGTACCTGGTGTAAATTGAGGGAGTTGACAGGAATTTCTGCCATAAGAATATGCCAGGTAAACTAAAGAGCAAAGTATATACGATCATGATTAGGCCAGCCATGATGTGCGGGTTGGAATGTTAGCCAATGTGGAAGAAAGAAATACTGCTACTACCTCACACTGCTGTAATAAGAATGCTCAGCTGGATGTTGGGTAAGATGAGAGCTGATAGGCTGTGCACTGAAACAGTACAAGCCATTCTGCAGGTAGTCCCCATCATAGAAAATCTGAGGGAATATTGACTGAGATGGCTGGGTCATGTGAGACGATGATGTGTGAGATATTTTGGCCAGAAAGTATCAGATCTAGTAGTCAGACTCATGGGACAAAGACCATGAGGAAGACTTAGGAAAAGGTGGTTCAAGATGCCGCAGGAGGATGTGAAGAAAGTTGATGTCAGCTTGGAAGACAAAGAACAAGAGCTTCTGATCCTGATTGATGGGATAAGGCAAAGAAGATGATGATTAAAGATTACTTTAAGGGCTCAGATCCATAACTAAAGTTTGAAGGGGTTGGGATCTGGGGTTGAACTCGTTTTACTGAAGATAGCATATTATCACAGCTTCCAGCAAAAACCTACCATGAGTGAAAATTCAGAGGTGGGAGGGTTTGGCTGAATTGTATGGCTAGAGAATGATAAATCTAGTACACCAGTGGTTCTCAAACTTTTGTACTGGTGACCCCTTTCACAAGCCTCTAAGTGTGACACCCCCCCATAAATTAAAAACACTTTTTATATATTTAACACCATTATAAATGCTGGAGGTAAAGTGGGGTTTGGGGTGGAGGCTGACAGCTTGTGACCCTCTCCCCCATGTAACAACGTCATGACCCCCTGAGTGGTCCCGACCCTCAGTGTGAGAACCCCTGTAGTACACCTACAGCTGTTGCATTAAATATGCCCAGAAGCTGATTAAATGATTCTTTACTACTTCATAACCCACAGCTCTCGCAGAACGTGAAGTTCCAAAAACTGAGTTATCCTTATTTGTGGTTAGTAGTCAAATATAAAAAAAAGACTGACTTGTGATCCAGCTTTGCTTTAGTCATACCAATGCGCTCACAAGTTCAATTTATTGATGATTCCTTCTCCTGTTGTTCATATTGTTCACGGCCTCCTGTGGGTCTGAGGCCATGTCTACACTACAAAATTAAGTTTACTTAATGTATGTCCACAGACAGTCACCACAGTAATTACATTGCTTGTGTATGTGTACGCTTTGCTTCTTGTGTCAGCAGTGCTCATCCTCACTGGGAGCACTTGCATCAATTGTACTGTCAACGTGGGGCATTGTGGGACGGCTTCTGAAAGCCAGTAACAGTAGATGTAAGCAACGCAGTGTCTACACTGACACTGCGTCACCCTGACTACATCAACATTGACTCTACGCCTCTCGTGGAGGTGGAGTTAAGTCAGTGTAGTAGGACAATTACACCTCCAGGAGCCAAATTTTAGTGTTGACGCTTCTGTAGTTAGGTCAACATAAGCTGCCTTGCGTCACGCTAACTCTGTAGCGTAGACCACGCCTCAGGATTTGTTGGATTGCAACGATACTACTTGCACCTGTATACCTTTCCCAGTAATATATATTCTGTACCAATCATTTAATTTATTATGGAGGGGGTCATACCCTAGCTGAAATGGTGAACAATAAATATCAGCCAATGTCTTGGCTTTGGAAACTCAAGTGTATTGCATAATTGGTATAACCTAGGAATAGGGCTGTCTAGATCACCGAGCACAGTTGTGAGAGTATCAGCTATGGCTGGAAAAAGTGAATCCTGTAGCGTTGATTAAAGGAGGTGGTCAGATTAAAAAATCAGTTTTATAAAATGAATTTCTTGACCTTTGTCAACACTTTAGATCAGCGATCCTCAGACTGAGGCTCTCGAGCTGCAAGCGGCTCTTTAATGTGTCTTCTGCGGCTCTTTGCAACACATGATATTAAAACATGGTATGATTTAATTATTACCCAATCTAAGTTATTAACCGATCAGAATACTTTTACTATGTTATTAACCAATTGTAGCTGATAAAATAATACTTGGTCAGTCATTTTGCTATGAGAATAGAATCATAGAATCATAGAATATCAGGGTTGGAAGGGACCCCAGAAGGTCATCTAGTCCAACCCCCTGCTCAGACCAATTCCCAGTTAAATCATCCCAGCCAGGGCTTTGTCAAGCCTGACCTTAAAAACCTCTAAGGAAGGAGATTCTACCAGCTCCCTAGGTAACGCATTCCAGTGTTTCACCACCCTCTTAGTGAAAAAGTTTTTCCTAATATCCAACCTAAACCTCCCCCACTGCAACTTGAGACCATTACTCCTCGTTCTGTCATCTGCTACCATTGAGAACAGTCTAGAGCCATCCTCTTTGGAACCCCCTTTCAGGTAGTTGAAAGCAGCTATCAAATCCCCCCTCATTCTTCTCTTCTGCAGGCTAAACAATCCCAGCTCCCTCAGCCTCTCCTCATAACTCATGTGTTCCAGTCCCCTAATCATTTTTGTTGCCCTTCGCTGGACTCTCTCCAATTTATCCACATCCTTCTTGAAGTGTGGGGCCCAAAACTGGACACAGTACTCCAGATGAGGCCTCACCAATGTTGAATAGAGGGGAACGATCACATCCCTCGCTCTGCTTGCTATGCCCCTACTTATACATCCCAAAATGCCATTGGCCTTCTTGGCAACAAGGGCACACTGCTGACTCATATCCAGCTTCTCGTCCACTGTCACCCCTAGGTCCTTTTCTGCAGAACTGCTGCCTAGCCATTCGGTCCCTAGTCTGTAGCTGTGCATTGGGTTCTTCCGTCCTAAGTGCAGGACCCTGCACTTATCCTTATTGAACCTCATCAGATTTCTTTTGGCCCAATCCTCCAATTTGTCTAGGTCTTTCTGTATCCTATCCCTCCCCTCCAGCGTATCTACCACTCCTCCCAGTTTAGTATCATCCGCAATAATATATATATAAAATAGTAAATGAAACAATGAAGTCATGCTACTGTGGCTCTTTTGGGTAATGTTGATCACTAATTTGGCTCTTGAACCACTGAGTTCTGAGTATCATTGCTTTAGATTATTAAGAATCTATTTTTAAAACTTAATTTACCTCCCACCATTTATACTGGTGCTCACTTTTTTTGTATTTCACTAAGTTTGGACAACGAAAATAGACTTTTTTGGTTTTGGTCACTATTGTGTTCTGACTTGAGTGCCTTCGCACTATGCTGTGTAGCATATGGAGCAAATACTTCAGGAGAATATTTAAATCCAAATAAACTGTATGAAAATACTACTTTTGGTTTTATTAAGGTTTTGTTTAAAAAAAAAAAAGAAGAAAAAAACAAACAAAAAAACAAAACAAAAAACCCCTTGTTTTTAAAAGCTGAAAGTTTGGGCTGAAACTGACTGAACAGTGTCCTTGAAGAATTTCAGCGCTTCTGAAGTCATTGGGAACTGGGAGACAGTTGATGTCTGTTGAATAAAATAAGAGCCCATGAGCCACATTCTAAAGCCTGTATACATACCAAGTTGAGTTCTGTTGTCAAGTGCAGAGTCAGGCGTTGCCAGTGCTTGGATCAGAGAAGAAGGTCCTGTTAGTAATTTAGTTGATGGTAGTGCCTTCTAAGTCAGGAATAAATCATTGCTCCTGCTTGAGATAGCCATGGGAACTGTGCAACCAGAGATGTTGGTTTTTTTTTAAATATGATGGAAAACAAGGTTCTGAGCACATGTGGTCACTGAAGATCCCATGGTACTTTTTTCAAGTGTAGAGGTGTAGTCAGCTGAATGTATTTGTGTCCACACAGGAATTCTTCTATATCGTGCTATTTAAATAAGTCATTCTCATTCCTGTTTAATGCATGCTGCACGTTGCCACATGCCAGAAGATCACCAACTGTGCCTCCTCATATGCTCCTAGTGGATTTTCAGGCTATAAGACTGCATACCTGACTAGGAATTAGCTCTATTAAAAATAGGGTGTATAGTGGAATACAAAAAGAATGAGGAGTACTTGTAGCACCTTAGAGACTAACAAATTTATTTGAACATAAGCTTTTGTGAGCTACAGCTTATTTCATCGGATGCATGCAGTGGAAAATACAGTAGGAAGATATATATATATATATATATATATGTGTGTGTGTATGTATATATATATATGTATATACACACACACCATGAAAAATGGGTGTTGCCATACACACTATAACAAGAGTGATCAATTAGGGTGAGCTATTATCAGCAGGAGAAAAAAACCCTTTGTAGTGATAATCAGGATGGCCCATTTTCAACAGTTGACAAGAAGATGTGAGTAACAGTGTGGGGGGGAATAAGCATGGGGAAATAGTTTTACTTTACAGTAGTTTGAGACACTTTGGTAATACGCGAGTGTCAAACAAGGCATGTAGACAAGGATGCAGACTTTGGAGTATTCTGTACCTTTTGCTGCCATTTGTACAAGAAGGTGTATCTGTCATTACCACTAATAGGACTTATACACAGTCACATAAGGAAAAAATATCTAGTTTCTAGGTGCTTTTCCTCTTCTTGTCATCCCTCATTTACAAACTTCAGAACTAACAGTATTTAGTATACTTGTTAATCTCTGCAGCATCTGCTCCAGCTGTGGGAGAAGTATCTGTTCAAGTGATGGGACAAGTGTCTATTCCTGTAGTGGAAGAGCTGATGGTGTTTGAACCTTCTGTTGAGCAACACAAGTCCGCTCTTAATGAACCTCCAACAGGTAAGCAGACACCAGAAAGTCTGCATAAACTGTTCACTGGGGACTTAAATATTTTGGCAAATCCTGTATGAATGCCACTATGAGATCTGAGTCTACAAAGGAAAGTCTTACTAAAACCCTGCTGTACAGTAACTGGTGTAAATCCAGATATACAAGTTCCAGTAAGATTGTTGAACACGAAAGAGTGAATTCATCCAAAGTAAATATTGCTCTGGTCTGTCTTAAATTCAGTCTCCTGGGTGCAGCTCAACTCTGCTGCCAAGGTATACACAAAAGGAAATGGCTCTCAAGGGTTTTTCATGTATACAATATGGAACTGATATTTTATTGTCCATTTAGGACTTTGCATTGCTCTAAAACACTATGAAATCTTTGGGGAAATCAAGGTTTCAGAGAGAGATTTAGTGCAAGCTGTCAGAAGGCATATTTGCCCACCCCTAGTGGCAATTATTTTATGTACATATTATGGTATCTAAAATACGTACTCTAGTGCCCAAGACATGCCAAGTGATGTATAGGCAAAAAGAAGACACAGTGCCTTCTCCAAAGGGCTTCTAATCTGAATAGGGCCTGTTAGATTTTATTGCTGGGTAGATACATTTTTTTAGCAGTTTTGCCAGGTTGTTTTAGCTAAAGAATTCAGGGATTGAGGACAGGGATATCAAATGAGAAATGTTTATTTTCTGGCAGTGGGAAGGGGATTTTATTGTGTATGGGCCATGATCATTGTACAAGAAGGTACAATCAGAGGAAACTATGGTCCCTGCTGAGTCGAAGTTATGATCTAAGTTTGACCTACAGTATAGTTCAGACTCTCAATACCGGAAAGGTAAGCTCTAAAGTACACTCTGGTAAAGATAGCAGTCACTTTTTAAATGTTATGCACTTAATTTTTTAGTGTCTTAACATTGATAGGCTTTTTGGTAGAAGTGAGTTTTTAAGGGGAGAGGTTTTAACTAAAAGCAGCAGGCTAGGGAATGAGCCATAAGGGGTGGTGTGGAAGAAGGTGTGAATAAAAGAGCCAGACAGTGTGGGCAGATGTATTTACACAGGCAGTTTTAAGAAGTGGATAGGCTTCCAGGAGAAGTGAGGAGGAGGAAATGAAGGCTGAGACACAGGGTACAGGGGCGTAGAGAAGGTGAAGAGAAGTTGAGATTTTCTGTGGGAGGCCAGAGTAACCAATGAAAGGATAAGATTAGGGGAATGGAATAGTCAGAATAGTAGGAGTGGGGACATCATTTTGTGTGGTCTGAAAGGGAATGGGTTGAGAATCAGGTTAGCTAGTGAGGAAGGGGTGACAGTAACTGACACCAGTGGTGACCAAAGCCTGAACAAGGATTTTGGTGATCAGGATGGAGAGGAAGAATGAGAGGGAATTCAAGACAATACAGTGACAATGGCTGATGGGAGGAGAAGTAAGGTCATGGTATAGGTGGGCAAAAAAAGTGGTATTTCACCATGCTTAGTCTGAGCTGCTGACGAGACAGCTAGAATGAAATTGGAGGGACAGTTGAAGAGGTGAGATTGAACAAGTAGGGAATTATGATAGTTGGAGCCATGAGAGTAAAGAGTTCATTTGTAGATAAAGTGTAAAGTAAAAAGAAGAGGACTGAGGAAAGAACCTGGAGAGATCTCAGGAGACGTGAGGGAGGAGGATCTGCCACAAGAGCTGCTGGTGAGGCAGGACAGCAGAGATGTAAAAGCCCAAGTTAGAGAGAATGCTGGAGTGAAAGAGTGACTGTGTGCAGGCAGCAGAAAAAGAGGATCAGGAAATCCCTTAGACTTACGCAGGAGGAGGTCAGAGTAGGCTCATACTTACTGGAGAGTTTGGGAAGAGTAGTTTCAAAGGAACAGATGGTAACTGGATTGCCTGGGATTAGGACGGAGCCAGAGGACAAGAATTCAAGGCACTGTAAATAGACTGCTTTCTCAAGGAACTTGCAGGCAAATTGGGGGAGGGAGGAGAGTAGTTGGAGAGGTAAGTGAGGTCTCAACTGTTTACAAGTAGAAAAACCACTAACTTTTAAAATTTGTTGTAAACAGTATCGTCTGCTCCAGCTGAGGTAATGGAACAAAAAGTGACAGTCCCAGAAGCCTCTACTCCTGGTGCAGATAGTACTCTTGTGGAAGAGAATAAACCATCTCCCAGCAAACATACAGAGCATCTTCCGAAGCCAAATGAACTCCCAGAGCTGGCAGGTGAGATCTATAAACCTGGGTACAAAATCAAGAGGGCTTCTTTGTTGTGAAGTCAGCATTTTTGATTGAGCTTAATAACTTCTTCCTCCCAATTTCTCTCTCACACTATTCCTCTGCCTTTGGCAGAGACCATGCAAAGAAGACTTCAGCCCCAAGGTGAATGTTTTGGAAAGTTATGAGCATGTGAAAATGTGGGGTTATATTAGAAACTGTTTCTCAGCCTCAACCTGGCAGGGTAACCATTGCAGATTGCTGTAATGTAGATACAGTTTCCATTAAGGACTTGGGAGTGAATTTGTATTTCTCTTCCTTTTTTTCCCCATGCATATTTGTTGTATCCATTGAATGTGGTGGTTGGTTTATTACAGTTTTTATTTTTTATATCTTTGTATAAAGTAATTAAATGTATATAACTTAAAAAATTCAAGTTAATGAAAAATCTAATAGGTCTTTAATGTGATGACTTTAAAAGAACTAAATTGTCTGAATTTTATGTCCCTGTTAATTTTGTATGTATATAATAATAATAATAATAATTAATAAGCACTTAAATGTAGTACATCAATCCAGATTTTGGAAGCTCTGTCCAAACTTTAATTTTTAATCAGCGTTGTGAACCGAGTATTTGTTTTAGCTAGCATGTTACAGGATGTTTCTGGCCTTTTTTTAGGTGAAGTTAAAGGTTAACTTTCTCCTGTATTTTGGTAGTTTTACAAGTAAGCTTCCTTGCTAGTTGATACAGTTAACAAATATTGGGAAAAGCAACTGTACAATGGTAAAGCGTTACAAGTTCAGTTTAAGAATTGTGTGAAAGCCAGTGTTGTCTGAACTCTTGCTCCTTCTTCGAGTGCTTGCTCATGTCGATTCCATTCTAGGTGTGTGCGTGCCCCTGTGTGCAGTTGTCAGAGATTTTTGCCTTAGCAGTATCAGTAAGGCCACCCTTTGAGTGCCGTGCTCATGCTTTGGTATATCAGGCTCCACTGGCCCTATGCCCTCTCAGTTTCTTCTTACCACCTGTAGTGGTTAGTCGGAGTACCTTTCCTTGCATAGCAAGGGCTAACGGGTTTGTCTCTTCTGACTTCGAGCTTTAGGGTCTTGTAAATAGTTTCTTTATAATAGTTAGTGTTAAGTGTAGTTCGAAGTTAGAGTCCCAGCGGGGACTTTGCCCCAGGCGGGGCATGGCCTGATTTCCGGGGTTTAAGCCCTGAGTGGACTGGAACAGGCCTATGCCTGTAAGTGACCCACACACCAGCTGCCTCAAATGCCTAAGGAATCACATATGAAGGACAAGTGTCATATTTGTACAAATTTTTGACCCAGGACTCAGAAAGAGCAGGATATTTATTTCCGGGCTCTTCTCATTTCCGGCCCTTCGTCCAGCTTCTGAGCCGTCCCTCCAAGACTCACCTAATACCTTGGTCTCAGTGCGCAGTGCACCCCTGGCTCTGCCCGGCACTGCTCTCCATCGCTGGTGCCCAAAAAGAAAACGAGCATGGCTCCCCGGCACCAGGCAAGAAGGGCCATGGGACATTGGGCAAAGGACCCAGTTCAGGCCGCCCAGCCACTCCGAAGCCATGTGTACGTGCCTCCCTGGTCAGGGCCCTTAGCCCCTTAAAGGATCTACCACTGGCTCCCGGGAGCAGTAGGGGACCCAAACTCCTGATGGCTTTGATGCCTTCCCAAGCTCCCCCGATGACGAGAGAGCAGAGGTCTCCGCCCATGCTGCCGGCACTGCCAATGCTGCAGGAAACATCAAAGGCTCCCTACGAGATCAAGCCAGCAGCTAAGAGGTCTCGGGGCAGTGGAGTGCTGCCGATGCCCCAAGACAAGGCAGTGCTCTCCTCCACGCCACAGATCTCCAGAGTTGCAGCCCAGATCCTCTGGGGCTTGCCCTTGGTCACAGGCACTTCAATCGCAGTCCCCGCCATCTCAAAGCGAATTGCCTAAGGGGGGAGGCGCTAGTTTCCATACTGCTGGCACCGTTTGCCCTCCTGCCAGTCATCCTCTTGGCGCAGATCTCGGTCATCCTCTTGGCGCAGATCTACAGTCGTCGTCTTCATCTCTGGACGAGGCTTCATCTCTGGACGATACAGTCTCCCACAGTATTCTTGCCAGCAAGTTAAAGAAGTATGGGCTGGATGAATGGACTACAAGGTGGATAGAAAGTTGGCTAGATTGTCAGGCTCAACCGGTAGTGATCAGTGGCTCCATGTCTAGTTGGCAGCCGGTATCAAGTGGAGTGCCCCAAGGGTCGGTCCTGGGGCTGGTTTTGTTCAATATCTTCATAAATGATCTGGAGGATGGTGTGGATTGCACCCTCAGCAAGTTTGCAGATGACACTAAACTGGGAGGAGAGGTAGATACACTGGAGGGTAGGGATAGGATACAGAGGGCCCTAGACAAATGAGGATTGGGCCAAAAGAAATCTGATGAGGTTCAACAAGGACAAGTGCAGAGTCCTGCACTTAGCACGGAAGAATCCCATGCACCGCTACAGACTAGGGACTGAATGGCTAGGCAGCAGTTCTGCAGAAAAGGACCTAGGGGTGACAGTGGACGAGAAGCTGGATATGAGTCAACAGTGTGCCCTTGTTGCCAAGAAGGCCAATGGCATTTTGGGCTGTATAAGTAGGGGCATTGCCAGCAGATCGAGGGACGTGATTGTCCCCCTCTATTCGACATTGGTGAGGCCTCACCTGGAGTACTGTATCCAGTTTTGGGCCCCACACTACAAGAAGGATGTGGAAAAATTGGAAAACATCCAGCAGAGGGCAACAAAAATGATTAGGGGACTGGAACATGTGACTTATGAGGAGAGGCTGAGGGAACTGGGATTGTTTAGTCTGCAGAAGAGAAGAATGAGGGGGGGATTTGATAGCTGCTTTCAACTACCTGAAAGGGGGTTTCAAAGAGGATGGATCTAGACTTTTCTCAGTGGTAGCAGATGACAGAACGAGGAGTAATGGTCTCAAGTTGCAGTGGGGGAGGTTTAGGTTGGATATTAGGAAAAACTTTTTCACGATGAGGGTGGTGAAGCACTAGAACGCGTTACCTAGGGAGGTGGTGGAATCTCCTTCCTTAGAAGTTTTTAAGGTCAGGCTTGACAAAGCCCTGGCTGGGATGATTTAATTAGGGATTGGTCCTGCTTTGAGCAGGGGCTTGGACTAGATGACCTCCTGAGTTCCCTTCCAACCCTGATATTTTATGATTTTATGCTTTCCCCGTGAGTGCACTCCCCGTCACAACTCCGGTCCCCCCAGCACCAGTCCCCTTGGTACCGGCACTGATCCTCTCGTTCCAGGCATCTGTCTCTAGCAGCGACGGTCAGCAGGCAGATGCAGATGTCGATGGCCCCACGGTTTGTCACCGGAAGGGGATTCCTCTGGCATGGAAGGGCAGTTCAGCCCCTTGCCCAGACTCCAGCAGCGTGATTGGGCTCCTGGGGCTGCGTCAACATTGATGGCGCCGTCTTGGCAGTGTGGCCAGTGGCCAGCACAGTGGCTTTGTTGGATCACATGGGGCGTGCCGGTCATGACAATGTCCCCTTCACGCTGCTCATCTGCTGGTGCCTCGAAGCAACAGTTGGCAGCACTGACGGCACCGGGCTCGGTGAACGAGTCGCACTCGGAGGTCGGGGTAGAGGACACTGCACCCACCCCTAAACCCCTCCCTCCCCCATTGGGGATAATGCCCCAGGGCCTCCCTCGGGGGTACAGCCGTCGTCTTCAGCTCTGGACGAGGCAGTTGCGGGACCCTCAAGGACTGGCCCTCTGGACGATTTTAAAGAACACCGGGCCCTTCTTCGACGGGTGGCCAAGAACTTGGACCTAGAGATGGAGCAGATGGCCGAGCAGGTGGACACTTTGTTCAACTTCCTCTCAGCCTCTACCCCAGCTCATGTTGCACTACTAGTGCATGATGGGGTTCTCAAAATTGACAAGGCCCTCTGGCAAACCCCGTCTTCCATCCCTCTCACCTCCAAAGGGGCCGAAAAGTACTTTGTCCCAGCCAAAGGGTTCAAGTACTTTTATACCCACCCACCTCCGTGCTCATTGATGATCTCTGCAGCCAACAGAAAAGACAAGCAGGGGCACACCAGCTCAACTCCCATGAATAGAGGCCAAAAGACTGGACCATTTTGGGACAAAAATGTATTCCATTGCCAGCACACAGTTCCAGTGGTGAACCATCAGGCCCTCTTGGGCAGACACAATTTTAACTTATTGGGCTCCCTTCATAAGTTCAAGGAGTCCCTCCTGCAGGGTTTGGCCTAAGAATTTGGCACCCTGGTAGATGAAGGCACAGCAGCAGCTAGTAGCTCCCCGCAAATGGGGTGGGATGTGGTGGACTCGGCGGACAGGGTGGTCGCATTGGTGGTGGTTATGAGTCGCAGCTGCTGGCTTCACACTGCTGGCCTTTCCCATGAGATGCAGACCTTGATCTAGGACCTCCCATTCAATGAGAACGGTCTCTTCTCCAAACAGACAAATATGAGGCTGCATGGGTTGAAGGACACTCGGGCCACCCTTTGCTCACTGGGGATGCATACGCAGCAGTCTGCATGGAAGCAGTTCTGGCTGCTCCCACTGCCAAGGCCTTGGCAGCCTCATCAGGGGTCTGCAAGGAGAAGGGATAGAGAGATGAGTTTTAGTCGTTGCCGCCATTCCTCCTCCCACGCAGCCCGGCCTGGCGAAGCATCCTGGGGGCTAGAAGCACTCATTCTGATGGTGTGCTTCAGAGTGACGCCCGAGTCAATTTCCCAGATCCACATTGTTCTTTCCTCGACTGTCTTTGTTCCTACTGTTTGGCCTGGTTGCGGGTCACCTCAGACCACTGGGTGCTGAACATAGTATCTCAGGGCTGTACCCTGCAATTTTCTACCACACCTCCCTCCCACCCACCCCTCTTCATGGATCCTTCTCACAAGCACCTACTTGTTCAAGAGGTTGAGGGCCTCCTGCTCCAGGGGGAAGTGGAGGAGGTCGCTCAGCACATGAGTGTTCTATTCCCGCTACTTCCTAATCCCAAAGGCAAAAGGGGGCTTCAGACCCATCCTGGACCTGTGTCGCCTCAACAAGTCTCTCATAAAGTTGAAGTTTTGCATGATCTCCTTGTCCTCCATCATCCCCTCCCTGGATCTAGGAGACTGGTACGCAGCCCTTGACTAGGGCACAAGCATCGTCAGTGGCTTTCCTGACACAGGTATCAATCCAAGAGATCTGTAGGGCTGCTACCTGGTCATCTGTCCACATGTTTGTGTCTCCTTATGCACTTACCCAGCAAGCTTGAGACGATGCTGACTTTGGCAGAGTAGTGTTGCAAGATCGTGAACTCTGAGCCCATCTTCATTGATGTTGCTTGTGAGTCACCTAGAATGGAATTGACATGAGCAAGTATTTGAAGAAAATAGCTGTAGCTCACAAAAGCTTATGCTCAAATAAATGTTAGTCTCTAAGGTGCCACAAGTACCACTGTTTTCGTAACTCTTGATCTTCAAGACGTGTTGCTCGTGTCCATTCCATTACCCGCCCTCCTGCCCCTCTGCTGGAGTTGTCAGCGGGAAGGAACTGAGAGGGCATAGGGCCGGCGGCGCCTGATATACCAACACGTGAGCGCTGCACTCATGGGGGCAGCACAGCTGGCTCTATGGATACCGCTAAGGCAAAAATCTCCGTCCGCGCACATGGGCGCGCGCACACCTAGAATGGAATGGACATGAGCAACACATCTCGAAGAACTGTTCCGAAAAAGGTGGGTAACCATTTTTTCTTTCAAGAAAAGAGGCTTGACCTGTCTTCAGATAGCAAAGACAATCTTGTATATTTCACCTTTGACACCGCAACCATTTGGTAGGGTATTTGTCAAAGGGAATTTGACGGAGGAATATAGGTAGACAGGTTACAGAATCTTGTAAATTGCATCTGAATTCTAAACCAGAATGTACTCTTTTCTATATGCCTGTGTGTAAAATATTGGTTACACTCATTCATCAGATGTGAAACATCCCATCTTATTGTGTTTTTTGTGTTTCAATTCCAGTGGAAGCAAAAGAACCATTTACATTAATAGAAACTAAAGAAACCCTTCCGGAAAAAACAGCTCCGGCTGCTGACCTGGCCATAGTAGAGAAGCTGAAGGAAGAGGCTGAGCTTAGTCATGCCCACCATATAGAACCTCCACAAGAGAAATCTCCATTGGAACCGACAGGTAGAGATTTGACAGTAGTTGGAATTTAGAATTAAAGTATGTTTTCTCTCTGAATACCATTCTTCCTTCTCCTACTAGCTGCATTTGTCTTACCCTTCAGCCACATGGGCAAGCACACGATTTTCTACAGCCAGCACTGTGCTGTTTTGTGAATTCATCACAATGATTCTGCTTGCACTTTGCCTCCAGTCTCTGCCCTGTCCCCTCTATAAATGTTTTAATCTCCTTGGTTTCAGGACTACAAGTCCAAATTTGGATGCTGCTGCTATTTTCATTGGGGGATGGCTTATGTCTTCACTGCTAAAGCATTTAAACACTCACCTTCCCTCTCTTCTAATGCCATTTCCAACATGGCTCTTATTTTGGTGTTAAGACAAACCCAGTGTTCCTTGATTCTAGTAAAATAATCAAGGCAAATTCCTTTTCCAAATTAAGGTGTGTAGCTGAAGGAGGAAAACATAGTTTTGTCCCTGCTCCACTAACTCACCTCTCCATTGAGCCTAGATTGTTTGTTTCTGACTGGAGGCTGATTTGTGGGACCAGGGCTATGTAAGAAATGACTGACACTCTCTAAAGTTAATGGCTTATAACTGAGGAAAGTAGTGCTATCTACGTCTGAGTACAGAAAATTATTTTTCTTTTGATGAAGTTTTGCCTTCCACTGCTTTACGGGTGCTGTGGGAAACTTACTTCTAGCTTTTTCTTCCCATTACATCCACACGCTTTCTTCTTGAGCCTTACCTTTCCGCTATGCTTCTATTTCCTATTAAGGAAAGTTTCTAAACTAGAGGGTTGTAACTGGTGTAGCTGCTGTCTTGTCTTGCTAAGATAACAGGAAAAATGGATCCCTAATGCCTTTTCTAAATATTGGTAATTTCTCACTACGAGAGCAGTTGTTTTATGGGAGTAAAGATCACCCACTGTATAAAAAATGACTGTTAATCTCTGTCATTGATCTATTTTACTTACTTACCAGTAACACAGAAATTAAACATAAAACCTATTTTAAAGTTAGCTTTCTTAAACAGCACCACTAAAACTGGGTTTGGGGTTAGTATGGTATCAGTGTGTTTAAAAGTTCTGCATATGTGACTGAGGCGGTCAATAAAATAAAAAATTGGCTAACATCAGACTTTTTAGCAAATAGTTGCTCTGATACTTGAGCAAACTTCCTGTATTCCAGGTGTACCTACTGCACAAGTAAGGCAAGCTAACAAATCAAGTGACCGCAGGTTTGGCAGAGCAAAACCTGCAGCAGTGCCTGGTGCAGATGTCCCAGAGGAACTTCTAGTAGATCTCCCACAACAGAAGAGTAGTGACCCAAAAGCAGACCCCTTTTCTATGCCAGAACTTGGATGGGTCTCTGGAACGTTCTCACGGACTAGGGCACCACATAAAAAGGCAGCCGGGCAGCTACTCAGCATGCCGTCTGAGTTTGTGGAGAGCCAGAGAGATGTACCTAGAGAGACCTGGGATTCAGAAGGTTCTCCAGTGATTGTGAAGAAGAAGAAGAAGAAACCGAAACAAAAGAGAAACCACCATCCAAGAACAATGGAGTTGGGGGATGAAAATGTAGGAGTTTCTAAAGCTCCCAAAGTTCCCCTCTTTGCTGCTGAACTGCAAAAGCCAGACATTCCCTTTGTCTTGCCTGCTGAAGGTGTCAAAGAGCACTCTACTTCCTCAAGAGAGGGCAAGAGGAAGGGAACTTCAGATGTACCAAGGGATGCTAAGGTAGGAACTGAAAGCCACCTCTTAGACGATCAAAATATTATCTCAAGTCCCGCAGCAGGCCAGCAGAGCCTGAAAACTGAAGGACCATTTAAATTTTTGTTGGATGCAAAAGCTGGAGAAGTCATGAAACCAGAAGAAATGAAAGATGACAGTTTGTTGCAGTCTAAAAGCAAAAACAAACAGGTACCCTTGGAGAAGCTAGAATGCAAGGCAGAACACACTAAGATGGGGGATCCTGCATCAGCACTGACACAAACCAAACCTATGGAAATAAGTTTTGTTGAAAAAAACAAAAAGATTGAGTGTAAACATTCAGAGCATTCAGACCTTAAAGCATCTCTTTCAAAAGGCATCAACCTAAACAAAGTGGACACTCCTTTGGAGGCCAAACCTATAGAAATTAGCCTTATTGATGAAAATAAAGAGATTAAGTGCGTATCTTCCAAACGTGTAGCAGCAGATGAGACCGTTCCAAGTGAAGTTCAAACTCCCTTTGGGGCACTGGTGGGAGAGAAACCAAAGAAAAGAGGTAGTGATAAAAAAAGCAGAAAGACTGAAAATGGTATCTTCAAGCAGCCTGCTGTTTTAGAGATTAAGACAGATGCAACCAATCTTCCTGCTGTAGCAAAGAGAGTCGACAAAACTAAAGAAACAGATTCCTTTGATAAAAGCCAAGAGACTGGCTCTGTTACTTCAGAGCCTCCATTGGAAACTGCAACAGATATTACTAAAGTACCCCTTATACCATTGGTCTCAGACAAACCTAAAGAGGGCATTGCTGGGAAAAACAAAAAGGCTGACTTCAGTTTTTCAGAGCAGCCATTTCTTTTGGAAACTAAGACAGATACAGCCAAACTTCCTGCTCCTGCTGAGACAGTCGACATAGCTAACATAGATTTTACTGATAAAAGCAAACAGACTGGATTCACTGCATTGGATCATCCAACTGAGACAGATCCCAACATGGCACTGGTTACAGACAAACCTAAAAAGAGGGATAGTGATGGGAAGAACAAAAAGGTTAAAAATTTCTCTGAGCAGCCAGTTCTTCTGGAGGCTGAGAGAGACCCGAACAAACTTCCTGCTGTAGCTGAGACAGCTGACAAAACTAAAGAAATAATCTTTACTGATAAAGACAAAGAGACTGGCTTTGCTATTGCAGAGCATTCGTTGGAGAATATGACAGGTCCCAGTACTGCAAAGGTGGCAGACAAGCCTAAGAAAAGGACGAGTGATGGAAAAAACAAAAAGGCTGAAAAAAGTTATTTCCAGCAGCCATTTTTTCTGGAGGTTAAGGAAGACACAAGCAGTCTTCCTGCTGTAATGGAGAAGGATGACCAAACTAAAAAAATATTTTTCACTGATAAAGGTAAAGAGACTGATTTTACTATTGCAGAACATCTGTTGGAGGGTGCAACAGCTACAGTGAAGGTACAAGGTCCCACTACAACACTGGTAACAGAAGAACCTAAAAATGGTATGACTGGGAAAAGTGAAAAGGCTGAATTCAGTATTTCAGAACAGCCACTTCTTTTGGAGACTAAAACAGATGCGGCCAAACTTTCTGCTAGTGCTGAGACAATCAGCAAAACAAAAGAAGATAGTTTGATGGATAAAAGCATAGAGACTGAATTTACTACAGATTCCAGTAGAGCACTGATGACTGACAAACCTGAAAAGGAGGACAGTGACAGGAAAGGCAAAAAAGCTGAAAAAGGTTCTTTTGAGCAGCCTTTTCTTCTGGAAACTAAGACAGACACACGCAAGCTTCCTACTGTAGTGGAAAAGGCTGAAAAAATTAAAGAAATGGGTTTTGGTGATATAGGCAAGGAGCCTATTTTTACTACAGCAGGGCTTCAACTGGAGAATTTGACAGATACAACCACGGTACAAGTTCCCACTATGAAACTGATAACAGAAAAACCTAAAATAAAGGAAAGTAATGAAAAAAGTTTCTTTGAGCAACTTGTTCCGTCAGATTATGAAATGGACACAGCAAAGTCCAAAACACTCTTCAAAACTAAAGAAACTCATTCCTCTGATAAAGGCAAGGAGACTGATTTTACTACTTTAGATCACCTCTTGGAGGATATAACAGATACAGCTAAGGCACACATTCCCATTACAGAACTGGTGGCGGACAAACCTAAGAAGAGGTGTAGTGATGGGAAAAGCAAAAAGATTGAAAATAGTGCTGAGCACCTTGCTGTCTTGGAGGCAAAGACAGACTCCGTTAAACTTCCTGCAGTAGTCGAGGAGGCTGATAAAATTAAAGAAATTCACTCCACTGATAAAGGCAAGGAGACTCAATTTACTACTTCAGAGCATCTGTTAGAGGATACAACAGATACAGCTAAAATACAAACACCCATTACACCATTGGTGACAGGAAAACCAAAAGAGAATAATGAGAACAGCACAAAGGCTGATGTTGGTTTGGAGAAGCCATTTCTTTTGGAGACTAAAGTAGATACAGCCACACTTCCTGGTGGTGCTGATGAGATAGTCGACAAAAATGAAGCTGTAACTTCTTCTGATAAAAACAGAGAGGCTGGATTTACTATTTTAGAACATCGAACGACGATAGAGCCCGGTTCAGCACTGGTGCCTAATAAGTGTAAAAAGAGGGGTAATGATGGAAAAAACAAAAAGGCTAAAAATGCCTCTGAACAGCCAGTTCTTCTGGAGACTAAGACCGACAAAAGCAAAATACAGCCTCCCATAGTAACCGATCTGGAGTACCAAATGGAAGAAATGGGTCTTGTAGATGAAAATCAAAATATTAAAAATTTCTCCTCTGAGCATCAAATGCTTTGGGATAATAAGGTGGACTTGTTCACACCCTACACTCAGTCTAGAGCAGCTGGTGTTGACAGAGTTGGCAAAGCTTATTCTATAGACAAAAATCAAGGGCTTGCCAGTATCTTTCCAGAGTATCCCATAAAGGATGATGGAAGTAAGGTGCCACTGCCTCCTGGAGTGGTTTTGGAGGGCACCAACAAAGAGTCCAGCATGGGTGACAAAAGGGAGAAAAATAAACACAGCCATTCTGAGCATTCAGTCAACCTGGAAGGTGAAGAGGCTGGTGTACCGGCTTTCACTTCAGTGAAGGAGGGTGATAAAATCAAAGTGACTAATGCTGGGGAGAAGAAGAAGAAAGGTAAATGGCCTTCCTTGGATTCTCCAGTTAAACAGGATGCCAAAGCAGGAGGGGATGAAGTGCACACTTCCATTTTAGCAGAGATTGATGACAAAGAAATAAGTTTCACTGATGAAAAGCAAAGCACTGAGTGTGCTTCCTTGGAGCATCTGGTGAAGGAGACAGATGCCATAAAGGGAACAATTCCCACAGATGCCAAAGTAATGGACAAAATGGAAGGAAGTAGCTGTGCTGGTGAGAAGGATGTTGGATGCATCTCTCCGGAACTTACAGTGCAATGGGAGAATAAAGCAGAAGCAGTTGTTCTGCAGGTTCTGGCTGCAGCAGTGGTGGTGAACAAGACTAAAGAGACTGAGCTGGGTGAAAGAAAGAAGAGTGAACAAAGCTTCCCTGAGTGCCCAGTTAGTTTAGAAAAAAAGACAGATGCAGCTGAGGCTGCTGGTGTGATTCTGAGAGATGCCCAAACAGAGGAAATCAGTCCGATTGATAAAATTAAAGGCCATTCTGAACACTCAGAAGGTGATGCTGCTGACAAGATAGAGGCTGGCTTGAAGGACTTCCAAGCTTTGAAGTCTGAAGAGGATAAATGTGCAGACTTACCTCAGAAAAAGATACATGGTTCTGGACAAAAAGTGTTGAAAGAGACAAAGAAAGAGGAGAGAGTCAAAGCTACGGAACAGATAAAAGGCTACATGAGACCCACAAAGTCAAGAGGGCTTCCTACTCCACCACCAAGGCTTGCTGTCCAAGATCGAGAGAAACCAAGGCAGCTGAAAGCCAATGGTATGAGTCGGCAAAGGCAAGAAAAAGGTGTGTGCTTGTGATTTGAGCTAGCAGCAGTAACGCAGACAGCTTGCGTGTGAGACCTTGCTACTTGTCAGTGCGTTGGCATGAATACATAACTGTTAATTCTGTGTGTCACAAACAAATGTGGCATGACTGTTTTGGCTGATCTTAAAAGGCTCTTAATTCTGCTTGCCTGTCTCACGGTGCTAATTCCCAAGTTTTAGAAGGATTGATCGTTTGGTTTGAATTCTAAAGCTGTTTCTTTGGGTTGCCTTAAAGTCCATTTATATATGTCCTGCCTTTACAAATTAAACTAAACTGTACTTTGAGCATTATGGTGAAATTAATATCTCAGCACCAGAAACTGAGTGTGCTATTTGTCAGAGATGCAGGACTTCCTATATTCAGTCTTGGACCAGTGGCAGAGAAGTAGTGCTTGATCAAGGAAACTAACTGAAATTTATTAGGTTTCAGAGTAGCAGCCGCGTTAGTCTGTATTCGCAAAAAGAAAAGGAGGACTTGTGGCACCTTAGAGACTGTAGCTCATGAAAGCTTATGCTTATGCTCAAATAAATTTGTTAGTCTCTAAGGTGCCACAAGTCCTCCTTTTCTTTTTGAAATTGATTAGAAATTAATGGCCTATACAACTGGACAGCAGGGAATTGCAGATTTCTGTAGTATGAAATGTTCTTTCCTATCCCTGGCAGGTTGTGTGATCTGACTTTAAAATCACATTAGTCTAATTACATCTATTGCTTTTTTCTCCTGCACTTGAATTCTGACCATTTCAACTATCTCAAAACCATCAAAGGTATAAAAATCTGTGCTTCATCCCAACTGATTAGCTTTAGGAAACATTAATCTCTGACTCTAGCAGCTTGAGAAATAGCAAGTAATTGGATTGATGTAATTTTAAGATTTGATCCCCCTCTACCTGTTAGGGCTAGAAACATTTTGGTGGGACCAGTAAAACTTTTCCAAGTGCCAGTCCTGGCCAGGATTCACAGAGAATTTGGATCTCTTTTGACCCAAGCTGTCTGCCTGTGAAATGGAGCCTGTGTCTTGGCTGTGTTTTGACGAGTATGTATATATGATTTAAAAACAACCAACCTGGGACTTACGATGCTACAAACCTCCTTTAAAAGTGTGCTCTTTCATCTTATCAATGAATTTTGATGTAATGAAGTGGCCTGGCAAGGGTACCTCATCCCTATCTACGAGCTGTTGTTTTTGCACTGTCGTTAAGGCATGAAACTTCCCTGTTTCTCTTTTAGCAGATTTCCACATTGTCAGCATGAATGATACAGCCGCTAAATTTAATAAACATGGAGCCCAAGTCAGCCTTAACATTCTGGTCAGGTTTTTGAGAGGTTTTGTAATTTTAATGAGTGTTGCATAACCCAGAGTAGTTCTATTTTGGAAGTGGTTGCTCTGCATGAACTTGTGCCCATAGAAGTATGCTGCATGATGGTACAAAGTGGAGCGAACGCAAAAGGCAGTGTCTTTAAAAATAAAAAAACCTTTATAATCTGCTAGAAGCCTTTTTGTTTCTCTTTGTAAACTGTTACCTTTAAAGGGATAGTTGTAAAGCTGGGAGATTCCTGCAAAAAAAGAAAAGCACTTCCTGACTGTTGCACAGGTAAATTTTACTGAAAACTGCACAATACATCAAAGGACTCCCAACTGCAGTGCAGAATGGCTACATGTAAGTAGATTGATATGCGGCTTGCGTTTGCAAGTTAGTACTTTATAAGGCCACATAGAAGCTTTCTAATTAAGCATAATTGCCTCAATCCTTGACTACGCTAAGTAACACTTTGTAGATTGACAGTTGTTTTTTAGAGAAGCTGTGAATGATTGAGTTTATTTTGGAGATGTTGGTTGACACATTTCCGACCCCAATTTGAATGCACGTTCTGTCTGGTGCAGGATTGATGATGAGGGCTTGAAGGGATGGCTCTGGCCTCCGGCATGGTTCTTAGGCAAACTATTGTTGACTGCACAACATTTGGGCTGAGTGACAAAATGTTACTTTCAATAAAGCACAGAACACTGTGGGGACAAAAAGACACCTTTGACTGGCTCTTGTCCATATATTTGTGTCTTATTTTCTTTCCATCCCTACACCTTCTAACTAGTAATGAAGCAACCATTTAGTGAATTCCCAAGGACTATGAATATCCTAGCTTAATTCCTAAATGCAAAAAAAGTTTGTGTAAAATTTATTTAGGATGGCTTGTACTTTATCAAGTGAACAGTAAACTTGTGTCAGATAAATACAGATTAAAAACATTGATCAGCATGACAAAGATTTTATGAGGTTTAAGTAGTGTATGAAGAGTAGTCTTGTTTACTGGTTAGAGCAGGAGTTAGTGGGAGCCAGGAGAAGACCTTCATTCTATTCCAAACTCTCTCACTGATTTGCTTTGCCAGGGGCAAATTACTTACCTTCTGTACTCCAGTTTACCCTAGTTTCTGAAGGAATAATACTTAACTGTGTAAAGTGCTTTGAAATCCTTGGATGAAAGATGTTATAGAATTGCTTAAATATTGCTATAATATCTATAAATAGAATAGCTTTATAAAACTGTAATTTTTATTTTAAAAAACAAACTATTTTAAGGTGTTTCTGGGGTCTACATAAATCATGAGCGTGAAACTTACCGGTAAATGTCTCCATACTTGTCACCAGAACGCAGATTACAATATCACTGTGTATTGTGGCTGGATTTATAATCGTCCATGAGATCTGTTACATATTTACATCTCTTGCTCTTCAAACTTATGTAAATTTGTTCATCTGAATACCACATCTGAGTATTTTGGAGAATGTTCTGCTAAAGATTAGCTACTGAAATTTGTTTAGCAAAACTAGAGGGCTGCTTGTGAGATCTGTAACTACTGTGTGCGTGTGCTCCAGTACAACAGGATGGCTTCTCTAAATTTATATGGAGGCATTTATGTAATGTTAGTGTTGCTATACACCAGTGTTTTATATAATGTAGAACATGTTTTGATTTCTGCCCCAAAGAGCTTTTGTCGCTTCTTGGAAGACATGGCAATTACAATGCTGTAGATATCTTTATTTGATAGGACGGTTCCCTACATTTTATATGTGGATTAGCTACAAAAAAAACCTGTTAAAATGCTGTTGTGTAGATTGCAAAGTGAAGCATTCAAAGTCAGAAAATGGCAGATTTGTGATTGCCCATGCAGCTTTCTGCCTCTTGTATGATTGTTTACCATATTCAACCTTGTCCCTTCTGTTCCCTGTTACAGCCATTACTAGAAACATACAGGTATTCTGGAAACCTATTTCACATTTTTAACACCACTGGGCAGCCAGGATTATAACCAAAATCTGCCTGTTGTAGGGTGACTGCCTCCCTCATGACCTCATAGTGGCTGTGCATGTGGCCACCCCCTCAGTTTCCCTCTTCTAGGGTCCGCAGTAACGCCACACAAGCTTTCCAAATATAAATAGTTCTTTGCAAGGTTAATTTATTACAGAAGTCCCACAACCATAGTCCAGAATTTCCCAACGTAGTCAAACTGTACGTTCAGTCTTCAGGTCCCAACAGTCTATCAACACACCATGTATAGTACAGCTCTGACATCTATCAACATGTTCAGGCTCTCTGGTACAGCACTAGTGGCATGCACCCCATTTTAGACTCTTAGGTTTGGCTCCAGCATATTTTACTACACCTCATCTCTTGGGTACATGTTTGGTGTGTCTCACCATGCTTCGCTCCTGCCCTTCTAGCTTTTCTGTCGTGTTTCCTTCTCAGATATGGTTCCAGTTGGCTCACTTGTCCATAATTCCCGAGACTTCAGCCCTCTCTGGCCCTCTGGGTTCAGTTCTCCAGCTCAAAGAGCCAGCAAGTATCTCCCGCTTCTGCTCTCAACCTTCAGCCTCCTCTGGTCTGGGGAAGTTTTGTAAATAACAACCACCCCTCCCCGACTGCCTTCCACTTTCAGCAGCCTCATCTGGCTCCGTTGCTCAACCAAGGAGCTCTCTCCATTCCCTCCATTAAGGTGATCCTCTCCCTAAAGCTCTCAACCTTGTTGTGTTCTTCTGGGCTCTCTCGAGACTCTGGATTATGGACTCTACCTCTCTGGGTTTTTGACTCTCCCTTGCCTTTGGGCTGTCTCTCATCTGTAACTCGCAGGGCAGCTCTGCCCTCCCTATTACACCAAACTAGGGCGTATCTGAACTGGAACAGGACAACTGGGCCTGATTTCATTTCAGGGACCAGCAAATCCTATTCCTCTGCCATGGTGGTAGGGTCAACATTTATCAGGCAAGTTTTTTTTTAGCAGCCGTTATGCTTCATTTTGGCTTGAGTTATAAGTAGGATTAGATGTGTAAAGAATGCAGTAGTGTAGGAATCTCAGTATGGACATAGACATCCCTACCAGTAACAATGCAGCTGACCTCATGCTGAGGAATGGAGACGGGGTAAATGATACTAGGGTTTCATTCTCCCAGTGTTGAACTATCCCACTCAGACTTCCAAATAGTATTCCCCATGCCCACCCCTTCTATTCCCGCCCCCCCACTCAGCTGGTATCTGTGTCAACACTAAAGGCTTCCTGGGAAAAAGTCCCTCTCTAGCCTATATCTTAAGGAACAGCATACTACGAATAGTCTTGCTTACCTAGCTCTCCATGTTTTTGTTTTTATCCACCTGTTGTCTTCCTCACATTTATATTTTGTAAGCTCTTAAGGACAAGAACTATCTTTGTATGTACAGTGCCTATTATAGTGGTCCTTGAACCTTGACTGTGTCTTCTAGACAAAATGTAAAGGAGCAGCATATGGAATACCAGTGTTGGGAGTATTGGCTGTTAAAAGGTTCTGAAAATTACCCTGTCGGACAGGGATTTGAAGGGCCACTTTGAGCGGTGGTCTCCAACTTAGCTTTTTATCCTACTCTCCTTTGTTGCCCTCTGCTGGCATTCTTCCAGCACCCTTTCCTTTAGCTAACAACAGCCAGCTGTCTCCAGAGTAGTCACCAATA